ATCTATTTTTCTGGGTCAAGTGCATTATCATGAATGCCCTTAAATGTGCTTTATTTTGATAGGAATGAGTTTTACTCATCAATAGAAAATGAGATATGACTGGCTGCTTTAAATTTTTGTTTGAATATCTATTTTGTTTGGAATTAGAAGTTGAGTGTTTCAACTGAAAGCAAGCAAAGCGGAAAAATAACAATCTTCTGATTCTTTTAAACAACAGATCCACGCTTGACAGATTATGATACGTTGCTCCAGAATGTTCATGATTTAAAGGAAGGGAAGGAAGTCCAGATTCCCATCTATGATTTCAAGACTAGTTCCCGAACAGGATACAGGTTGAACACTGCTTCATTTAGTGCTTATCAGTACTATCATTTGCTTAAAAAGCTGTTAAGGATTAAGTTTTCGCAGGTTTGCCAAAGGAAAAGTAATGGTAATAGTAGTAACATTTGATTGTGAATTGTAGAAGTCCTGATCAATTTTGTTTACAGAATTGGATTTACTGCCATCGTCAAACCATAGTATGAGATTAATCAGATTCTTAATCAGATAGTTTATACTGCTTTCATATCTGGGCGATAGATTTTATATTTAGTCTAGCATGTATCTATGACAGAACCCTTGAAGTCCCGAGCTCGCGCATTGTAATCATTGAGGGCATCTATGCTTTGAGTGAAAAGTTGAGACCTATGCTGGATCTTCAAGTATCTGTCACTGGGGGAGTTCACTTTGACCTTGTTAAACGAGTTCTACGAGACATACAACGCGTTGGCCAAGAGCCTGAAGAAATAATCCATCAAATTTCTGAAACTGTATGTTCAGCTCCCTTGTTTTTTTTTTTTTTTTTTGGTGAAATTTATTACCAGAGAGTGAGAAAAGCTTAGTTGGTTGTTGTTTTGTAAAATTACAGTAAGCTACTAAGCTACTTTAATGTTTCAGTGCACTATGGTTGTTTTCTAGAAGAAGTCAGCATGTTGTCTGTTATACAGGTATATCCAATGTACAAGGCCTTTATCGAGCCAGATCTCCAAACAGCACATATCAAAATCATTAACAAGTTCAACCCATTTACTGGATTTCAAAGTCCGACTTATATTTTAAAGGTTACTATTTGCCCCAACTTCTTTGCTTGTTTCTCTATGGTACAAATTATAAAGATACTGGTGATTGTACTTATTTCTATCCCAGTATCTATGTCCTTATCCGTTCTGGCATCTCAGTTTTTCTGTTTATTGTAGTCAGCAAGGAAGTTTACAGTGGATCAAATTAAGAGTGTTGTTTCTGAAGCACATACAGAAACAAAGGAGCAGACTTATGATATATACCTTCTACCTCCTGGTGAAGATCCAGAATCTTGCCAATCATATCTGCGGATGCGGAATAAAGATGGAAAATATAGTCTCATGTTTGAGGTTTGTCCCTTGAATTTCTGTCTCTTATTATCACGAGTTGAGATCCTACATATGTGACTTGTGAGTTCATATCTTCATAAAATTTCAGTGGTCCTATAATTCATGTACTACAAGAGTTAAGATTATTGTACGACTCTGGAGGTATTACTATAGATATTTTGAGAAAACATGTATGTCTCTAGCTCTAATTAGATATTCCTTAAAAAGAAAATATTGGTCATTGCATGTGTTTGACATCTGTGTTCAAGTCTGAACAAATAGCTTCCCAATGACCTGGTTCTCAGTGTTACAGAATTCCCTTGGGAATGATCTTAATCAGAATAACTAGGTTGGTATTAAACTGGCAAATTGGATATCCACTATGCTTTGATTCTAGAGAATCTGTTGTTTAGTGGTGGATGGATCTTGACGAAGTCATCTTACTAAGAAAAAGAATACAACAGTCTTTTTGTCTATATACTTTTGGGGTTTGAATGTTGGATTGAAATTCCTTGTTCTCCATCTGTTTTCTTTGTGTATGATGTCTCTCCTTTCTCCACTAGTGTTTGTTTGTTAAGAAACTGACCAACAAATGAAAGTCTGATTTGATAGTTTGTGAGTCTCATTTTCAGGAATGGGTAACAGATATTCCATTTGTCATATCTCCAAGAATTACATTCGAAGTTAGTGTGCGCCTTCTTGGTGGACTAATGGCCTTGGGTTATACAATAGCAACCATCCTCAAAAGAAACAGCCATGTATTCTCTGATGATAGAGTTTGCGTGAAAATTGATTGGCTGGAACAGCTAAATCGTCACTATCTTCAGGTACTTCTGAGAATGGAAATCTTCATCTAAGCAAGTACTACAAATGTGGTGTTTTAATGTACTTTCAAAACTTTTTAAAGTTGAAAACTTATTCTTAACTTTCTAGTTTCTATAAATGTTTAGTAATTTGCTCCATTTTTTTTCCATTTTGGTCACTTGTATTATGTTTTAACTACTTTGTTTTGATAATGGTTCTTACAATTTTTTCTTTGTCAAATTGCGAATTTGACCTTCTACCTGATAATTTGTATAGTTGTTGATATAACATTTGGAAGGGTTAAAAATTTTGAGTTTGGATTTATATGATTCACAGCATAAGTGCTTGAGAAGTGCCATATATAATTCCTGGAAGTAGCCAAATTGACATTTTAGCTTGTACTTTATATTTTGGAGGAGCTCAGATAATCATGTGGGGAATTTGATGCATAACTGTTTCATTTAAAACATTGGTCATATTTCTTACTTCAAAATATTACTGTAATTTGTAGTTTGTTTATAGGCTAGTACCAACCATTGCGTTTTGACATTCTTAAACAGGTGCAAGGAAGAGATAGGTCAGTTGTAAAATGTGTTGCCGAGCAGCTTGGTTTGGAAGGTTCATACATTCCACGTACCTATATTGAACAAATCCAGTTGGAAAAGCTTGTAAATGAGGTTATGGTATGAGACTGCCAAAAGCTTGTGATGTCTTTTTCAATTTTAGTAGCTCTTATCTAAGTATTGGACAGGCCCTGCCTGAGGATTTGAAGACAAAACTCAGCCTAGATGAGGATCTGGTGTCAAGCCCCAAGGAAGCGCTCTTAAGAGCCTCTGCGGATAGGGTTGCCTCGAGAAATAGGCATCTCAAAAGGTGTAAACTTCTGATACATTTCTTTTTCTGCCGCATAAGGATGCTGTTTGATGGCCCTTTTTAAATGCATTTAACTAATAGACCTGCTTTACATGGTGTAACAAAAACAGCGGTATGTCGCATTCATATTCAACTCAAAGAGAGAAGAATATACCGAACTTAGCTGGATATGGTGTGAACAACCGGAGGTTTGTTGAGAGAAATTCAGAGTCAGCTCTAGCAAACAAGGTTTTTATGTAGCTCTTTTACCTTTGTACTTGATTTTCTATATATATTTTTTTGGTGAATGCATTGGTAACTTATATCCCCTTTACTTTTCTTCTTTTTGTGTAGGGAGTCATTACTCAGCTTTCAGAACAGATATCCTCTCTGAATGATAGAATGGATGAATTTACTACCCGTGTTGAAGAGTTGAATTCCAAGTTAACCATCAAGAGATGTACTTCCAGCCAACAAAACTTGGCTTTTCAGACTGAATCTTGCAATGGCTCTGCTCCAACTTCTTACTTCATCAATGGTTTAGGCAATGGTTCCATAATGCCCAATTCTTCATCTTCCTCTCATCTGTCTAAGGATTCACCTTTAATGGAAGAGGTACTACGGCTATGCCCTTTTATTCAAGTTTGTTATTCTGGAGGTTACTGGTCAACATAAGAGATCTAGAATTGCCAGAATTAAGAATCTGATCTAGATTGCTGGCTATAAGAGTCAAAACATTTGAGGCTCCTAGGGAAAAGTTAGAAAGTGTTAGGCGTGGCCATTAAGGGCTGGTCTTAGTTGTCAAGGGATCAACTGAAACTGTCCGACATAATTTAGAACATCAATGGCTAGGAGTTCTAGTACTGATGCAATTAGCCTATATCTGCTCAAGTATATTTTTGATTCATTTGAAGTTTCATAGCCAGTTGGTTTGCCTAAATTTTATATGCTCTAACGTCTGTGAAACAGATATCCACTGTTGCACGGGGACAACGTCAAATCATGCATCAGTTAGATAACCTTAGTAATCTCCTTCATGAGAGACTGGGAGAGAGATCTAAGCAAGCAAGTACAAGAAGGAAAAACATGGTGGCTGGTGCAGAACCTGTTAAAGTTCCACTAATTTTAACAACATTGGCAATTGGCGGCCTAGGAATCTTCTTATTCAGGGGCTTTTTAACCCGAGACTGATTCAATCCTCTGGAATAATTTTCTCATTTTCATGTCTTTTTTTTTTTTTTTTTTTAAGATTTTCAATTGTCCCACCAAGTGTTTTTGCAGCATTACTCTTCTGCTCGGGAAAGACAGTGAAAACTGATGATTAAAAGAGTTACGAGGGGGCAAACAAAACAAAGCTTTCAAGCTTCTCTTTGAGGGTTTGGTAAAGAAGGGTGCTCTGCCAATTTTCTTTTCACTTTGTGGGGACTTCTTGTCATATTAGGCTATTGGAAAATGCTCTTTTAAGTCTACTCTGCCAGTCGTGACATTCTCTACTTTTTTTTTTTCATGCTGAACGAGTTCTTAAGTCTTGATTACTACAACTTTTTTTTGAGTTAATTTAAGTATTTATTTATATTGTGTTTAATAAATTTATGAAAATCATTTTTTTATATTAACGGATTCGAATAAAAAAATTTTTAATCACTGATATCAAGGTAGCCATCGAATGGTGACATCATAGAAGCAAATCAATCTAAACACACTAATACTTGGACTAAAGCTATGTTAACTTTTTCAGTTAATGGGGTGGGAAACATCTCTCTTTTTCGCCTGCATATGAAAGATAAATTTTGAAATAGTAATAAAGTTAAAGTTGATCATCAATGATTAAAAGTTATCTCAACAATCCATCCATTTTATTTGTCTCCCATTTTTATTTTACCAAAGGGGGAAAAAATGAACTCTTTTTTAACGTTAAAAGATTTTGAATTTGGTTCAAAACATCTTTTTTTTAATCGATCAAAAGCAAAAAAACTAATTTGAATTATCTTATCCTTATCCCCCCCGGAAAAAAAGCTCAAACCTAGCCAGCAAACGAAGTCCAAATGGGCCCCCAGACTCCCAACCCAAATATGAAGATGTCCCTTTTATATGTACTAAACAAATTGCAAATTGCCAGACAAGTGCAAACAGAACAAGGTTTCTCCCACTCAACACGTAAAGTTGTTTCCTTTTCCCGTTTAGCTTCAGTATCTGATGAAAGAGTTAAAGAAGAGGAACACTACAGGAAGACCATAAGGAAATTGAGTTCTGCTTCTGGGTTTTCGATTTTATCATCGGTTAGTTATTCTTTTCTCGCTATATTTTTAATCTCATTTATTTACCATTTTGTATCCCATTTCTTTCAATTTTATTTGATCAAGATCCGTTTTCTTCTTCACTGATGGAATGAATTAGAAAATCCCATTTTTTAATCCTCAATTTCCCAAATAATGTGCATGAAATGCTAAATTTTCTATCTTTAGGATTATGCTAGTATGTTTGGTCTTTTGTTTGAAGCTAAAATTAATGAGAAATTGAAGATTGTCTAGAACTATCAACAGGTTACATGTCGAACAAGTCATTGATATATATATATATATATATATATATATGCTTAAATTGTGCAGATGGATGATGTTTCGGGTCCAGATTTAATAACTGATTTGCCTCAAAGCATTATAGAAAGTATCCTCACGCGTTTACCAATAAGAGATGCTGTGAGGACCAGCATTTTGTCAAGTAAATGGAGATATAAATGGTCAGCACTTACTCAGCTTGTATTTGATGAGAAATGTGTGATTTCATCGGATGATCAATGTGAAGTTGAGGATAGTCTTGTTAAATTTATAACTCGGGCTCTTTTTCTGCACCAAGGGCCGATTCATAAGTTCCAGCTTACTACTACAAACTTGCAATGCTGCCCAGATATTGATCAATGGTTACTTTTCCTTTCGAGGAATGATATCAAAGAGTTGGTTCTTGAATTGGGAGAAGGAGAGTGGTTTAGAGTTCCTTCTTGTCTTTTTAATTGTAAAAAGTTGACCCGTTTGGAGCTTTTTCGTTGTGAATTTGATCCGCCACCTAGTTTTAAAGGATTCTTGTGCTTGAAAAGTCTTAATCTCCACCAGGTTTTGGTTTCCCCTGAGGCAATTGAAAGTCTTATATTTAGTTGCCCTCTTCTTGAGAGCTTGGCATTGTCGTATTTTGATAGTTTAGCTCTTACAATCCGAGCTCCAAATCTTAAGTATTTGTGTCTGGAAGGTGAATTTAAAGACATTTGTCTTGAAAATACCCCACTTTTAGTTGCAATGTCAGTTGCTATGTATATGACTGATGACAAAGCTGAACACTTTGAGCAAAGTTCAAGCAGCAACTTTAACAGGTTTCTTGGTGGTGCACCTCGTCTTGAGAGGCTCATTGGGCATATATACTTCACGAAGGTAAAATGATATTACATTTCTACTTTGGTTTGTCAAGTTGAATTAGTTTATACTTGTTCCAAGGTACTGTCAGTTAAATTTTCTGTGACTTTAAGTATTTAAGCATAGGTGATGACCCTGGAATACTTCCAATTACATATAACCATCTAAAGGTGGTAGAATTGTATCAAGTGAGTTTTGAAGATATGAAGGAGATACTCGTTGTTCTTCGCTTGATTGCTAACTCTCCTAATTTAAACGAACTTAAGATTTCGGTGAGTGTTGTAGTTCTATATTTTCATTTGTGATTGATGTTATTGTCTGTTTCTACCTTTTGTACTACTTTATGGTGAATCATTCAAGATCCAAATGACCCCGTTCACTCTGCGGTGGTTCCTTTAGGGTTCCTCAAACACATTAGCTGCTATAGATGCGCCCGATTTGAATTTCTGGGAAGAAGAATGCCCTTCAGATTGCACATTCAAACAACTTAAAGTTGTGAAGATGACAGATATGTCTGGCGTGCCTCATGAGATGGAGTTCATCAAATTCCTTCTTGCAAAGTCACCAGCACTTGAGACAATGAGTTTCTCACCTTGTATATATGTCATGGATGAAAGACTGAATATGTTAATCGAGCTGTTGAGGTTTAAACGGGCCTCTGCTCAAGCAGAAATTTTCGTCATTCTAGATTAAGAATTGTTTGTCTGTTAATAGAGAACAACTAAGTATCTTGCCCTTCCATCTGCTAATTCCTTATCTTTCTTTTGGAATCTCAAATAGCACTTGGGCTCCAAATGCATGTTTCTGTAACATATTCTTTTGAAATGTGAATAATATCGTTATTGAGCAAATTGTATGAAGTTAAAGAGAAGTTCTTTTATCAGGATATTGATGATGCTTTCATCGGAAAGCTTGGAAATTGGAAATAACCTGAAGAAATGGAAGCAGTATGTTATGTCTGAGTCTGATTTGTTCTTAGAATATGTGAATGTCATTGAGAATCATGGGTTGTTCTATTAGTATGTCCTCTTTTAGGCTGAAAACTTTGTCCTGTAAATATTATAGATGCCATCACATATGCATGGATACATGCACATACATAAACCTATGTTGGGTGCAAAAAAAACTTGGAATTTGGGATTCCTAGTGATAAATACCAGTGATAGCTCTTTAAAATTCCTGAAGACCACGGCATTAAATTTTAGGGAGCAAACAAAATTCATTTGAAATAGGACTTTTATTACAAGTAACTCACAGTAAACAACTACAGAAAAATTCTTCACTCGCCAGAAGCAGGAAATGTACCACTCAACCTAAATTTGTCAGTTTTTTCTTGAATCTAAATCTGTACAATCAGAAATGAGACAGATCTAGAGTTTCCAGTGTTATAATACTATACAACAAGTTCATTTCAACACATTTCTATCATGACTCATGAGATTCTTTTTACGTTTCTTCTTTTAAACAATTTATGATTCTCTCCCCATTTCAGAGGTGAAAGTCATCTTGGTCCAGAGAGCTCCATTGCTTGAACCAGTAAGGAAGAGTCATCAGTAAGATCAGAATATCTCTCTGAAGAGGAGAATTCATTGGCTCTAGACCTGGTTGCTTCAGCTCTCTGAGAAGCTTCCCACTTGTCAGCAAGTCCATCACCTTCCAGCATCCGAACCACTTCTGACATCTTGGGTCTATGACTTGGGAGGTTTTGAGTGCATAAAAGGGCCACTTGAGCCATTTCTTCAAGCTCAATTCTATCATAGTTGTTCTTCAGGTCCTTGTCAACTAGCATCTCCAGTTTCTTTTCTTGGTGAATTTTTCTTACCTACATATAATAATAATAACCAAGTACATTAGATTTCTGTAATTTGATACATAGTGAGAATAGTCTGACAAGTAAAATTTCTTTGATTAGCTTACCCAGTCAAGCATGGCTCCTTTCTGGTTAGCTGTCTTCCCAAATTCAAGAGCTCTCAGTCCAGATATCAGCTCAAGTAAAAGGATACCAAACCCAAAAACATCTGTTTTCTCAGAGGACTGCCCGGTGGATAGGTATTCCGGGGCTATATGTCCGACAGTGCCCCGCACAGCTGTTGTCACATGTGACTTCTGGTGATCCAACAACTTTGCCAATCCAAAATCACCAACTATGGCCTCACAGTAATCATCAAGAAGTACATTTGCAGCTTTAACATCCCTGTGAATTATCTTTGGATCACACTGCTCGTGCAAGTACAATAAGCCCCTAGCTGCTCCTAAAGCTATTCTTTTCCTCGTTCCCCAATCTAAGGCTGGTTTGGCTGCAAAGTTAGAACTTACCAACATTATTCGTTGGTAAATTTTTGCATTATTTGGACATTTAAGATTGGTGACAATAAACATTCTAATGCATCTTATACTATTGGACTATTCATCCATTATGTGCTTCATTGTTACGATTTTTAGTACTTATACTTCATAAATCTTATCAATCTGAGTTATAAAAGAGTAGCAATGATTGCTGTTCCATTACCTTTGAGTCGACTAGCAACGCTACCATTGGACATGTAAGGGTAAACCAAAAGTCTCTCTGTCGCTGTCATGCAAAATCCATAGAGCCGAAGGAGGTTGCGGTGAACTGCTAGGCTCATCATCTCAACTTCAGTCTGAAATTGGATTTCACCTCCAATGGCATTTCCATCTTTAAGCCTTTTTACAGCTACAACTGTTCCATCCTGGAGATAACCTTTATATACGTTTCCAAAACCTCCTTTTCCAACCAAGTTCTCGCTACTGAAGTTGTTAGTAGCTATCTGAAGTTCCTTGAAATGGAACCTCTTCAAGTTTCCAAGGCAAACTTCTTCTCGATGTTGTTCTGAAATGTTCAGAAGAGTATTTTATGGGGACAAATTAGCCCTTTCTTATAAATTAAGTGTGTTTTTTCATGTAACTATTTTTATTGTTTCAGTTCTCACTAACCGTTAACATCGAAGAATATTTGCTGGTTGTGTCTTTGCCTCCACCAAAGAAAGAAACCAAAGCCAAGAATAAGTAGGCAGATGCAGCCTAGGCTGGAGCCGAAGGCTAAAGCAATTTTGTGGCTCTTGGGTCTACCAGAGGGTTGTGAGTCTAACAAGGACAGAAAATGATGTCAGATTAAGAGAATTAAACAATTATACAAATTTGGGAGGGAATTTGAATTTCTAACAGAACGGGAAAGTAACATAATCTTAAAGCAGGTGATAGGATACATATAAAAATCTTAAATTCTAGATGGGCTGACTCAAATCATGAATTTTACACTAAAGTCAAAGGGTAGGTGATTAATAGTAAGAAAAAGAAGTAACACAACTTTTTGAGCAGAACTTCGAGATTTGGACAAAATGTAGAAACATTCAAGAGGGGAGAACTGTTCTTACTTTGTGAATTGTTTAAGGACAAAGACATTGGCATTGGTCTTGTTCTGGAGCAGTCATGCTCATCTTCCGCGGCACAGATCAATGGGTTTCCAACAATGCTGTGTGATGTCAACTAAAAATTATGTAAGCAAATAATAAATGGACGAAAATATTACTAATAGTCATATAATTCAATTTCTTGTTTTAAAAACGGTGAACACCGGATTTAACAGCTAACGGCAGAAGTAACTTACTTGAATGTTTTTTCTAGCAATCCTGGCACTGGTCCACTCAAATTATTGAAAGACAAGTCCCTGGCAAATCGAATAGATCCCACGTATTGTTAATCCTTAACCTGATATGCATCAGTTTGGAAAGAAAACTAACTGGCGTCCATAGGATTAAGAGAATTACAGGAAAGTGAGCAGAGTCATGTTTGCCAGAGAGGAAGGTATTGCTCCTGAGAGACTGTTATTATTCAGCCTCCTGATCCAATTCAAAGAAAACCATCATCAGATTCAAACTAGTTTAATCCATCAGATTCAATCTAGTTTAATCCATAATTTAGGGGGAAAAAAAGCTAAAGCATGGCAATATTTCAATATATATACTTACAAGTATTGGAGACCTTTTAAACGGGACAGAGTGCTGGGAATTTGACCAGAGAAGTAGTTGTTAGAAAGATCAAGTGTGTGAAGCTTCGGAAGCTTCCCTAATTCGGAGGGTATATGTCCTGATATGTTGTTATTCTGTAGGAGCCTGCAAAACTTTCATTCAATAAGACATTCTAGCTAGCTAAAAACTATAAATTACAATTTATCTGATGACAATTTGATACTGACACTTGCTGGAGATTTGTCAAGTTTCCGATTGTGGGGGCAAGTGTACCAGACAAATTCTGGCTTGGAGCTCCTCTGAAACAAAATCATTTCAACCACATCAGATACCATATCTTCCCTAATCATTACTGAAGTACTAGAAATGTAACTATTTATCTTTTTGTGTATTTGTTAGTCATTTTCGAGTTTGAATGAGTGTATATTGTGTTTGTGTATTGATATACTAAAGGGCTACTTACAGGCCAATGACTAGACCATCAGGAGAGCATGTGACCATAGTCCAGCTGCATGGATCAACAGCAGCATCATCCCAATTGTTAAGAACCCCATGAGGATCAACCAGAAAAGCTTTTATGCCCATTAAAGCTTGCACTGAAGAAAAGAAAATTTTTTCTTCATCACATACAATTCAAAAGACAACCATGTGTTTCATCAATTAGAAGAAATTAGTTGAGTTACCTTCAAAGTTTACACCTTTTGGTGAAAGCAATCCACATGCAGAAGTCCATAAGCAGATCAAGGCCACACAACTTAAAACAATCTTCTCTTTCCTGAATTCCATTGCTTCAGTAGTTGCAGCTCAAAGAGAGCAAGGCAACAAAGAAATAAAAAACCAGTTTCTTTTATATATAGGGGACTAGGAAGCAGGTAAGGAGCTGGTAGAAGTTTGTAAGCAAACGATTCAACTGAAGTAATGCTCAAGTAGGATTGTGTTGTTTTATGCAATGCTTACATCAAAAGCCAAGCAGTGAAAGTCCCCATGGTTCCTATACAAGAATAGAATTTGCACACACACTCTCAACTTTCTGTCAGAACTCAGAACCAAGAGCCAAGAAACCAGAGACTTTGAGATAGTTTAAAATACACCAGAGAGAAGTAACATGCCTGCCACTGGTTCAATCAAAAGTAGAGAAAAAAGAATATATAAAAGCTAAGCCATATTAACCAAATCTATATAAATATCAAAACATGATTGATAAAGAAAATTCTTTCAATCATGTATTTATGTAGGGAACAGGATGTTTGAGAATTTTCTCCTCTTGTACCACATTATTGTAAAAAAAAAATGTAAAACATCAAAGTGAAGTTTTAACTGTTAAGCACAGTAAGATTTTATTATAATCAGGATGGTTAATCAAAATTTGGGTTTTTTTTACCAGGTGGGTTAGGCAGGTTTTTGGTGTCAGATAGAGAGAATAGAACAAGTGTTGGGATTGCTTTGATTTGCTAAGCTTCCACTGTGGCCTGTGGGGAATCCAACATTCCCTGAGGTTGGCCATTTCTTTGAAAAAAAAATTTAAGTCAGGAAATTCCCTCTTTTATTTTGCTATATAATAATTATTAGCATAAAAAAAGGTGAGAATCTCGAGGGGATTGTGCTTGGGATTGTTGATGTAATAGCTCCTTGTGAGATCTTTGCTGTGTGAATTATTTCACGCATTTTTTTTTTATGCATTATTTTTGTGTTAGGTGTCGCCTTTTTTTATTCTAATGCACTCACCTTGTCTCCTCAGTCAAGAGACTGTCCCATTTAACAATCCAAAAGCACCTAACTTTATAAAGCAAAAGCTGCCACCACTCTTTCCCTCTCTTTCTATACTTACATGTCTACTTTTATAATTCGAGAACATATAAAAATGTTTTATAATTTGATCATTCGGTAATTTATTTTTTAAGAATAATGTGGATATTATTCGATTATTCATAAAAAATAATGTTTTAAAGTTTATTATTTTCATGCCATTTTTGAGTAGTGGACTCTTTAAGAACAAAATAACATTATATTTCATGAGGGTTGTGGACCCTGCATTATCTGGTAATGACTAAAACATCCATTGCCATCTGATGAAAGAGCAATGGGGTGATGATGGTCCTAGCAAAACGGCCTGGAGTAGGAAATTTAATTCCCATTCTCACAGAACAGAAATCATCATCATCATAGTAGAAGCAAAGACTGATGATTGCTTATTTTGATACACGTGCAATGGAGACCCCACAGTTTGGTTGACTTGATCTTTCAGAACATATTTCTTTCCTTTGGACATTAAAAAAACCTAGCTCCATGCAAATTCATTATCATTTTAACAAAAGTAAAGTTGATTTTCAGATGGTTTTGAAGGAACATTTTACTCCAAAACCAATCCAAATGGCTGTTTGGACAGACATTTACTTTTATGCCAATATCAAGGCTAGGAAGCCCTTGGCTTTCTGGGTTTTAACTGGTTTTTCAGGCTATGGAAAGGCCAGTGATAGGCAATATGCTTGTTCAATACTAAAAGAAAATATTCCCATGAATCATTCAAGTGGAAGTTTATTTGTCAATGGAGCATTGCCAACCAAGTGGAAAGAGCACATATACTTTCACAACTCTAAATAGTGAAAATCTAATTGAAATAAAAAAGATCAAATCCAATATTTGCATGTGAAGTTTGCTGAATATTGAATGATTTTACCCAAACGTAAAGCCAAGAAGTAAAAAAAAAAAAAGGACATGACAGCAGGAATTGGACCTGCATCCAACTTGCCATTGAATCTGTTGGGGTTTGAGTGCAATTTATGCCATTGAAAGGTAGATACTGGCCCTTTAACACCATGAACCCTCTAAAATGCATGAAAATTGCATTCCAACAACTAAGAAGAAAGTGACTTTGACAGGAAGATTCAAGTTCTGAGGGGTTCAGATTTTGGGTTTCACATTTTTTCCCCACCTGACAAAAGGGTCTATTATCAATTTGATTGAACATTTGCATTACAGATCTGAAATGAGAATAGGATTGCTTTTTCTTAGCTTCAACATAACCAATGAACTAATATTTATCTTCCCATCATTAGTCCCCACCACTAAATAAGCATTCCACTTTAATGGATTCTTAATAGAAAAATTATTACATATACTATATAATGAAGTTTTTAAATTCTACAAATAGAGTTAGTAGAATGACATATATAATTTTTAAAGTATAATAAAAAATAAAAATAATTAAAAATAAAATGAGATATGTAATAACCTTTTAATTTTATTTATAAAATTAAAAAATTTCACAATGAACGTATAAAAACGAACTGTTTTTAATTATGTACAATTATTTTTTAGTATGATAAAGATATTGGTTCTTTTTCTTCTTGACATATTTTCTCATGCTTTGGTTACATCCCATGCATTTAATTTACTACTATTATTTGCTCCTTTTTAACTCTTCGTTACCATGGGTTGGCAAGAATCTTTCAATCTAATCAATAAAAGAAATTGCCAGGCAGGGTTAATGGAGCCAAAAACGAGTCAAACAAGTGGGATTAAAAAAGAGGAGGTTGACCATGGGATCCAAATGAAGAGGATACCCCAAATGAGTAGGAAATAATTGTTCTTTTTTACCACTAGGGTGTTTTTGAATGGAGGAGCCACATCACATGAATTTAGCTCTGGCTTTGTCCCTTAAAGGCAAAAAGAAGACATTATAAAGCCACCTAAATAGTTGACACACCCTAACCCCACCTTGTCTCACCCCCTTCTGAATCTCTCTATTTAGTCTTCACCATCCATTTCTTTGTACCTGGTACAGTGAATTCAGTCATTATATCACCCTTCATATCGAATTGGCTTTTTTTAGATTGTCATGATTTAAATTTTGATCATAAAAATTAAAAGTTTAACATTTTACGAATAAATCACATAATTTTATTTTTACTGTTATGTATATTTCAATACTCTCCTCTTTTTTTTCTTTTTGACAGCCATTAATTGGAAAGTCTCCCACATAACAGAAATGAACAGCTTATTTCAACATCTTGGAACTGGCTCAAGCCACTTGATACTTTGTGAAATTGCGAACAAGGACCTGATAGATCATACCAGTACACTTAGAACAATCTTTGGAGATCTGAAAAAGCAACCAATCTTCCCATGTTTCAAAAGGCCCCAAGAGTCATATAGTTATGCAAAGATTCATATGTGGAAAGGACAGAGTGACCAAGTTCAAAATTTACTAGTAGAAAAAAGTTGGGCCAATAGAATAAATTCCCTTCCGAAAGGCCTCCTTGAAAAGCTTAGGATGCCTCACACGCAAGCCATGCTTTTTTCTTTTCTTTTATAGTGCGGACATGACCTTTTTATATTCACCAAACTCTTAATGCCACCCAATGTAAAGAGAGGTGAAAGCAACGGTCATCAGCCACACACCCCATCCCTCAAAATGAAAAAAACCAGTGAGATCTCGCTCATGTTTGGTTGCTTGGAATGTTGTTAAGAAAAAGGCCAAGCAAATTCAAGCCATTGTAGTTGTAACAAGGAGTGAAAAGAAGGCAAATTGGTTTAGGATGGTCCCATTTTGAACTTAAAATTTAATTCAATTAACTTATATAATTACAAATATCATTCAATAAATTTAAAATTCAAATCTTAAATTCTCAGCATATCATGGCTACTAAAAAGAAGATAGGTCTCATTTTTAGATATTTTGATGAACAAAATTGATGAGACTGATACCAGTCTGATGACACTGTTGACTCAAATCTATGTTTCAACTATTTACTTTCAGTTCACCCCTTGGTTAATTGATCTGTTTAATTTCTTACTGGGAATTCAGTCTAAAGATGTCTTGTTGGCAAAATCACTGTTTGTAATGATTTGATTTAACCTGTTTTAGAAGCATTAGGAAAAAAAAGAAAGGTAAGTGGCAGCATCAACATGCAGACAAAAATAATTTAATCATAAAGCAATATATATATATATATATATATATGAGGCAATGCAAACAAATGATACAAAACAAAGACCTCCACTACATAAAATTAACAAATGAAAACAATTCACTGCTTTATCACAAGGATAATGACACCCTGGAATCCATATGTCATCTTCCAATTATAAAGAGAATCCTGAAAGTACTGCAGCTGATGGAGTTCGATGACTACAATTCACAATTTATTTTATATGGGTTTTTCCTTTATTCAACATTAAATTGATGTAACCGGTAACCAAATTCGATTAGGATAACCAGGCACGTATGAAAGTAGCCTCCAGTTGTTTTTTTTTTTTTAATGAGAAATCACTTGGAATTCTTGACAAAACGTGAAAGTAGAACTGTCACTGTTGAAGAAAATTGAGTAATTGACGCCCGAGACTGTGCTTGAAATAAACATTTTGCAACAGATTAGTGATTGATCGAATGTGGAACACAACTGTCAACAATCACAAAGCAATTAGCAACTCCATACTTCTTATATTGCTTAGAGGGATCAATTTGTCATGAAGTTACTAAAAATTTTTTAGTTGATATGATTAAAGGTCTACCTTTAACCAGGATTGGAAAAAAAAAAAAAAGATTGAAGTTAACGTTAAAGTTTAAACTGTACGCCTTTGGCTTCGGACCCAAAAAAAAAATGTTCAGAGATGTTCCAAACTTCATAATTTGAAGAAAACCCTGTAAAAAGAATGATCGACCAAGCTTTTTGCTTCTTGTTATTTAGCTGAATATATTGATTCCTGGTTAAATTTTCCTATCAATGCATGTGATGCCGAAAGGATGGTCCGGTTGATTGGGACATAATCTAAAATGCTAAACAGTCAGTCCAGCATGGTGGATTCAGCCATTCAGGTTCCTTTCGAAATGCTGATCTATTAGCCAAGTTCTTCTAATCCAACTGTCACCAGCTTCATTATTCTCAAGTCATACTGGCCCCATTCGACATCTCCTGCAAACGCTTCATTTGAAGGAATAATGGTGCTTGAATTTGGTTTGGAAATATTGTGATAGATCATGATTGGTGCATCTAAAAAGATGGACAGAACCATAGCAGAGTGCAATCCATACAAAAGCTCCCTGCCAGATTCTTTGTTGTACAATAATGCCATTGATATTTACATACAATGCTTTTGTTCCCTTAGTTGTTTAGTTGTTTAGCCTAGTTCAGCCAGCTTAACACCAAATCCTAATAAAAACATGGTCACTCAGCCCTGTATTAGATTATTATTTTTTGGCCTTGGGCTACACAAAGAAACACATCTGGCAAGTGATACTGGGGAACACAATTTGAGACAGACATTTTTGAGTCATTAGCAATAATTCAAAGTTACTTCTGATCCTAAAATCACCGTCAGAATTTAGGCCAAAGTCTGGTCTTAACTTAACGGTCTCCTTCTATTTGAACATTCAAAACCAAGGGGTCAAACACTCAGCCGCTTCTCACCAAGTTACTTTCTGCTTAAAGCCTGTTTTGAAACCACTTTCTGCTTTCATTGCTATATATGTGAATAAAGCAGCATCTTTCCTCAGTCCCCTCAGCATCAAAGGCAAGAAGATAGACCAAGTGAAATGATTATAC